GGGCAGATGGAAAGGAAGATATACCCCTCCTAGTTATACCCCTGGTGACCTACCTGAAACCAGGCTCCACTTCCTAACAGCAAGTCAGCTACAACTCTTCAATTGACTAATTAATTGATGAATATGCTAACCTCTCATTCAATCACTTTCCAAACACATGAAACTTTGCGGGTACATTTTCTATTTAAACTACAACATACCCTACTCTCACATGACAGCATCTCAGCCCTGCGCATGAGCCGAACATATTCCTTTAGTTAGAGAAATTCGTTAGGTAGAGGGTAGAGGTGCTGACCACAGAAAAACAAAACAAAACAAAACAAAACAAAACAAAACAAAACAAAAAACAAAACATGTAAGGTCTTCTGGTTGCGCTGGAGTGAATCAGAGTCTTCCAGGAAACTGCAGGATCTTTTCAATCCCTGAAGGCCCTTTTTACTTCTGTTAGTGCAAATGCCTTATCCTAACACACTTATGGTAGCAGAAGAAAAAGTGGCTGCAAACTTGTAGCCAATTATATTAGTCATTTTTGTTTATAAAAGAAAACATTTGAATCTGGGTAACTTTATAGAAAAAAAAAGTTTATTTTGTTCACATTTCAGAGAGTTCCAGTTCTCATGACCAATGCTGACCCGATTGATTGAGTCTCAAGGCAGTGCAGCACAGAACATTACATGGCAGTAATCTGGGAGTGCATGTGTATGTCTACATTTTCTTTCATGTTTCTTACTTTCTCCTTGTAAGATGAGCAGTATTCAGTCATGGAGATTCCACCCTATTGACCTTATCTGGTCCTCAGTACCTCCAAATGATCCACCTTTTAAACGTCATAGTTGAATGAAGTTTCTACCCTCTTAATGACTCATGATTGAGATTAAATTTCAACATGTATCATTGGGGCACACTCAAATAATATCTAAACATATCTACTTTGTTTACCACTGACTCTCAGGAGAATACCAGAGATGCAGCAGGTGCTTACTATACATTTGTTAAATTGATGATTAACAACATTTTCATTGTCAGTTCTCTCAGTAATGTTGAATTTATTTGTTCATGAAATATGTTTAAGGATATAAATGCAATAGATTGGATTTTACTCAGTAACTATGATATATAATATGCATCACAGTACTGCGCTTTTCAGAGTCTAAATTCAGTTTGACTCTCAGTTCCATCAGGCTATTGATCTGTCCATGGCGCAGACCTACATGTTACCTCAAAGAGGTCCTGCAGACCTAGTAATTTTGTTGCCATCAGTACTCTAGTTTCTCAGGCCCAGCCTGCGTGAGATGTGTAATTCTGTTGTTCCCTTCAGAAGACTCACTGGGGCCCTGTGGTCAGGCCTTACACATTCTAGAACACAGAACCTCGAATCGCGGGTCCCTTCATATTCAGCATAATCCCATTCCCTCAGGGTCAGGCACATCTCATCAGCCTTGTTTCATCTAGACATTTAGGAAGCCCAATCATAGTTGTACCAAAGATTGTGACACAAAAAGGTGATTTCTTTAAAGATCACAAATGGTCCCAAAGCAAGGCCTGATGATATTCTTAGAAGAGAGAAAGGAAACATGTTAAAGGTACTAAAAATAGTAAAATGGCAATTTATCTCAGTACATTATCCTCCTGGCAGAATGTGTTTTCTAGAAGCGCACCCTGAGAGGGAGGTTAAGATACAATGTGTTCACTAAGGATCAACTTGTGAAAGCAAGTTGGGAGAAAGAATAATTGGGCAGAGGAAGAAGTTAAAATGGCATGTATGTCCTATGAATTGTCCACCAATCTGGCAAGAGGTCCTGCAAAGACTGTTGCCTATTGGAGTCGAGGCAGAAATGACTGACCAAAGGGTCTATTTTGCTCTAGTTTGCTCTGTCACCATGAAATATGCCCTGTAAAAAGTATGACATTCAGTGTGGAAGATCACAGTAGCTGAGGCTGGGGACCACTCACTGACCGCACGTCTTGCAGCTGGACAGCACGCTTTTCCCTACAGGGAGATCTAGTGGGACAAAATTCCATATATAGCACAATTCTACTGCAGAAAGATAAGCAGCTCTGTTCCCCAAATATGTAAGAAGCTAGTAAGACCTTGGAAATATACAGTGCTTCATATTTACAAAGAGATTTTTCACATAAAAGTATTCTATTTGATTCCCATATGTAAAGCAAGCATTATTATCACTTCACAGATGAGGATGCAAAACCCAGAAATGGCCGTTGACTTGTGACCAAATGATGGGAATGAGCCTCAAATGTAGAGTGGCCCTTGAGGGCTAAATGGTGTCCACTAACTCATTTTTAAATAAATAAATAAATAATATTCTAATGTGCAGTATTCAGGGTTCTCCAGAGGAACAGAACCAATAACATTTGCTTAAATATAGGGGGGATTTATTAATTTGGCTTACATAATCAGAGGTTGAATAGTTTCACAATGTCTGTCTGAAGGCCGGAGAGCTGAGAAAATCAGTAGCTAATCAGTCCGAGAACCTGGAAGCCTCAGAATAAGAGGGACCTATGATGCAGTCCTAATATGAAGTTGAATGCCTGCAAATCTCCCGGAGAACCACTGGAACAAGTTTGCATTCACATACTGAAGAATTTGAGTCCAATGACAGCAGCAAAAAAGGTACTTGCTCAAGGAAATTTTAGTGCATCTCTTTCTGTCCCATCTGGGTCCCTATTCTATAAGGTGGTTCTTTTCCACTCAGGTTGCTGACCCTCATGCAAATTATCTGGAAATAGCCTCAATGACACATACTGAAATGTGGTATACCAATTTTTTAGGCATCTCTCAACCCAGCCAAGGGGAAAACACAGATTAACCATCACATATTAGAACTCACTTCTTGTGAAGTTCTACATGTGTGTGTGTGTGTGTGTGTGTGTAGATACACACACACACACACATTGGACCTTACAAGCCACTATTCCATCCATTTATACAGTTCTGTATAGTCACTTATATAAGAAAAAATGATTAAGAAAATATATCAGACTCAAATGTCCACAGGAAGCCACAAATATCACAGGTGGATAAACCTACATCGTATAAGTTTCTGAAACTTTAGTCAACTGGTGGGAACATTCTGGCTCTACATGTGCACACGCTATTTAGCCCTTTCTATGTAAATCTCCACATATATCAGGCCAAGCTTTCCTTTTGTACAAGATACACTGTAATTTAAAAATAAGCTCTGTTCCTAATATGAAATATATTGTATTTAAGAGTCAACTAGAAATTAATAAAACAGCAACCTATGAAAGCCCATTTTGATATGTCTGCCTAATATTTTTCTAACATCTGTACTATGGAGATTCTGAAGAGAAGGTGGGCGTAACCAATTATTTAGTGAGAAAATGAAAAACAGCTCTGAAATTTGAGATGTTCCCAAAACATCATAT